TGGGTCGGTTTGTGTGTTACAGAGGACTACAGAGAGAGGGAGGGGGGAGCAGGGGAGGGCTCTGGCTGCTGGAGGCCAATGGGAGTGGGTCAATCGGCCTAGCCGCCCAATCAGCAGCCACACTCTGCATGGAAGGGAGGGAGGAAGGCGAGGGAGAAAAAAACCCCGGACATTTTAACCTTGTTACCAATTCTTCCCGGACGGCTATTTAGAGACGCAAAAGCCGGACATGTCCGGGGAAATACGGACGGATGGTAACCCTAGTAGTGAGGCTGGTGGATTGCTTTTGCTACTACGTTCAGAGAAGACTATGGCCATTCGCTCTCTTGTAAGTCTACTGTTGAAACCACTTGGGTCATTACACAATGCCATCCAGGCATCTGCTACAACAGTAGTAGATCTTTGTCCAGCAATAGAAGCTATATGTGGATCAATCCGAGAGCGATCCGTTGAAAAAGTACTGGAAGAAGCAAAGACTTCAGTCCAGAAGTTGACTAATGAAGGCATTTATATTGAATCCTTAAGTGAAGAGGACAAGAAGTGTTTAAGACAACTGAAAAAATACACAGACTTGATTCTTAAAAATCTACAACAGCGACTTCTAGATTCTACGTAGCTTTTACAGATCCCTGTCCTATAAAACAATGGTCTCCAAAGTGGGGCGCGTAAGAGGATCCTTGGGGGTGCGCGGCACGAGGACCTTCGTCCGAGCAGCTTTTTTTTTTTTGCACTTCGGCAAAAATGGTAGAGCCGGCGCGGCAGGGGGTGCATGCTCAACGTTTTTTTACTGATAGGGGTGCGCGATCAAAAAAGTTTGGCGACCACTGCTATAAAACACCGACAGATGAGTTGAGTGAGGCACTACCAGCAATGGGGCTGCCACGTGCTCAGGACAGAATAGAGAATTTGAACACAGAGTGGAATATTATACAACAAATGAATAAAGATTTGACTTCAACTTCTTTTTTATCATCGCTAGTGGCTCGACCCGATCTTTATGCTATGTTTCCTGGGATGAAAGAAGGAGGAATTCATCTCTTGCTACTCCCAGTCACAACAGCTGCAGCTGAACGTTCTTTTTCATCACTGAATAGAATTTTGTGTTCTGAAAGACGTCGCCTTCTGTCTGATCATGTGAATGAACTAATGAGCATATCAATTGAAGGAATGGAAGTACCGGACACACGAGAAGCCACCGAAGATGAACACATTGCATTCAAGAAGTTCATTAACAGAGTTGTGCAAAATTATAACAAGAAACCAAGAAGGATGTAGATACAGTGCTTCACAGAAGGCTTGAGTAGCCAACTTTAATTTGTGATGATTGTAAAACACGAATTAAACCTAATAAAATGGTCATGAAACATTGTTCAGTTTTAACTATGGTGCCATACAGCCCACCTTCACCCTCACGGTCTCACCCCTCATTGGCCCTGGACTCCTCACCCCCCGTAAATCCGAACACTCCCCCTAATTTCAATTCCTGGGGAAAACACTGACGTAACCAGAGTCAGAAATGCAGGCCCTACACTTTCTAATAATTGAGGGGACAGGAATCGCTTACCCAACGAGGTCACTGTCTTGTAATTCTCCTGCATTACGTCCCTGTAGAGGGCTCTCTGAGCGGGGTCCAGCAGAGCCCCCTGCCCTTGGGTGAAATACACAGCCACCTCCTTGAAGGTCACCGGCATCTGAAACACGAAGAGTCCCCAACTCAGCACCTGCTGCCCCAGCCACAATCCCGCTAGTTACAGGGAAAGGAAGCAGGGGAAAAAAAAGCAGCTCTGGGAGGACCAGAGAAGCAGAATCCTTTCCCCACCCTGCAGCAGCCACGTGGCTTCAGGGGGTGGGGAGAAGGTGAGAGCTCCTTGTCCGTGCCCCTCCCAGCAGATGGAGCAGGGCAGGGTCTTCTTATTTACCACACACCTGCCAGCCACAGGCTGATATGGGAAGCCAAGCTCTGAGCTGGAGACAGGGACAGGAATCCCAACAGCTTCCCCTCGTATTTCACAGCAGCCTCTGGCCAGTGGGTTCAGGCTTCAGCACTGGGAGCCTGGAAAATGTTCCAAGCCCTGTTTCATAAACGGGGAAAGTCCCCCCCCTGCCAATGGGCCTATTCAGAAAATCAGCAGGTTTATCACACCCCGTTTCCTCCCTGATGCTCCCTCCAGCCGCCCAGCAGCTCCCTGAAAATCCCCTACCTGAGCTGGCTCCATCACAGCCATTTCCCTTCTCCGTCTCCTGGAAGACGGGACGATCTGGAGCGAAATCTGGATGTGATTCTTCAGCCTGTCGGGGCGAGAGGGGTGGTTACAGAAGGGACTGGAGTCCATTTCCCACCCCCATTCCCTCCCCCGGCTCTTCAGACCCTCCCAGTAACAGCATCTCCGTACACACCAGGCAGGGTCGTTTGGAAACCGAAGACTTTATGCTTCCATCCCACGCCACTGTCAAGTTTTAGCAAATTAGGACAAGTCAGCAAATAAGAACAACCTTAGGTATGAGTAACTGCTACTGGTGACAATTTGCTACCTCTGTACAGTACCAGAAGACCGGAAAGGTGAAAAGTAGCACATTTCTACAGATAGTTTCACACACCGTCTGGTGTAAGAAACTGCTCTATGTAGGAATTAGCTACATCCGAGAGCAGTTTCTAGCAAAGTAGGACTTCTCTGCTACATGTAGCAAATTCCTACAGATAGCAGTTTCTCATACTACACCTGCCCCAGCCCTTTGCCCCAAGTCTCTCTCCTCACCTGCGGGCTCCAGTTCAGGAGCTGGTGTCCGCAGAGCCCGGGGCTGCCCCAGGGGCAGGTTCCAGGCACCGGAGAAAGTCCCCACCCGAGCTGGGCACCGAGGGGCTTTAACAAAGGTCTCTCCTCTGCTGGGTAAGAAGCAGCTTCTCAGTTTGGGTTCCCAGGTCAAAATGGAGGAGGCAGCAGCTTCTGGTCCACGGAGCTCAACTCCAGAGCTGTATCCTGAGCAGAGAGAGACACACACCCGCCTCCTCCTCAGCAATAACCGGAGCCTTCTGGTGGTAACACCTGATGAATGAGCTGCCCTGGACTCCCCCGGCAGCCCCCAGGGACGGG